CTCACAACTGCTGGTGTGTTCCATTTTTCATAGGGTGCTGGCAGATTACGGGCCTCCCATAGCTGCTGCCAGGCCCCTAATCTGCCATGGGCCCCTGTGTACCCGCCTCCTCATGCTGCTGCCAGGTGTCTCTCATGGGTCCCTGTAGGCCTCCCATTGCTGCTGTCTCCATCGCCACACTCTGCCATGTGCCACTTTCAGATCTCCTCACACTGCTGGTGTGTTACATTTTTTGTCATAGGGTGCTGGCAGATTACGGGCCTCCCATAGCTGCTGCCAGGCCCGTAATCTGCCATGGGCCCCCGTACCGACTCCTCATGCTGTGACGTTGCAACAAGGTGGAATTCAACCCCTACATATGTTAGACCGCCTTTACGAACAGCGAAAGGCCATCACAGATTTCCTGATGTTACAAGCGGATAAAGGTACTCCCCTGTGTAACTTAGATGTCAGCCATTGGCAGCTCATGCGTGACACCTGCCCGCTTGCTCAGGCCCCTTTGAGGAGGCCACGCTATTCGTGAGTCGGCAGGACTATGGGATGAACGACGTCATTCCTCTGTTGCACGTCCTGGAACAAATGCTTGTTAACAATGGCTGGTCAGGGTGCGGTAGACGTGGCGCACAGATCTCAACGCCACATGACCCCTGTGGGGGCAGGACAGGAAGAAGAGGAGGAGGTAGAGGAGGACATTGGTGCTCAGGAATTATTGAGTGAAATGGGTGGTTTTTCCACTCAGCGGACAGGAGTGAGGAGCAGGAGCATCTGTAGTAGAGGAGGAGGAGGAGGAGACAGAGGACCCAGACGCACCGTGGCAGTATGCTGTGGAGATGGAGGCAGGGAGTCCCTCGCATTCCTTGGCACAAATGGCCCATAGCATGCTCGCTTGCTTGTGTAGCGACAGCCGAATAATAACCATCAGACAGAGGGATGACTTTTGGCTGTCCACCTTGTTGGACCCTCGCTACCGTTCAAAAATGGGGCCTTTTTCACACCTGCTGAGAGGGAGGCCAAAATAACGTACTATAAAAAACCACCTATGTAGTCAGCTGGTCTCTGCCTTTCTGCGCCAACGTCCATCCATCGTGTTCAGACACTGTGGGCCCTGTGCGCTCGCGTTCCGCTGCCATGGCAGCAGGGGGGAGGGGTGGGGTGGTAGGAGCAGTGGCAGCTCCACCAGCAGCGGCTGCCTCAGTCTGCAGTCGATGATGAGTAGCTTTCTTCACCAGCGCAGTGAGGAAACTACTAACACCAGCCGCAGCAGCAGCAGCATCAGGTGGACCTGGAGCAGGACCTCAAACAACAGGCTTGGGCCTACTTGGACAGCACCCTGCCAACCGAGGTAGACAATCCCCTTGACTACTGGGCAACGAAACTTGACCTTTGGCCCCAACTAGCTGAATTTGCCCTTGAAAGGCTGTCATGCCCGGCCAGTAGCGTGGCATCGGAGCGCGTGTTTAGTGCGGCAGGAGGTATTGTAACTCCGCGAGGACACGACTGTCCACCCAAAGTGTGGAGAGACTCACGTTTGTGAAAATGAATCAGGCGTGGATTAGTCTGGATCCATTTCAAAAACCACCAGTTCCTGACACAACTGACTAAATCCGCCATGTCTCATGCCCCCCCAAACATGTGCCACTTTCAGGTCTCCTCACACTGCTGGTGTGTTCCATTTTTTGTCATAGGGTGCTGGCAGATTACGGGCCTCCCATAGCTGCTGCCAGGCCCCTAATCTGCCATGGGCCCCTGTACCGCCTCCTCATGCTGCTGCCAGGTCCAGAGTCTCTCATGGGTCCCTGTACGGCCTCCCATTGCTGCTGTCTCCATCGCCACACTCTGCCATGTGCCACTTTCAGGTCTCCTCACACTGCTGTGTGTGTTCCATTTTTTTTGTCATAGGGTGCTGGCAGATTACGGGCCTCCCATTGCTGCTGCCAGGCCCCTAATCTGCCATGGGCCCCTGTACCGCCTCCTCATGCTGCTGCCAGGTCCAGAGTCTCTCATGGGTCCCTGTACGGCCTCCCATTGCTGCTGTCTCCATCGCCACACTCTGCCATGTGCCACTTTCAGGTCTCCTCACACTGCTGGTGGTGTTCCATTTTTTGTCATAGGGTGCTGGCAGATTACGGGCCTCCCATAGCTGCTGCCAGGCCCCTAATCTGCCATGGGCCCCTGTACCGCCTCCTCATGCTGCTGCCAGGTCCACAGTCTCTCATGGGTCCCTGTACGGCCTCCCATTGCTGCTGTCTCCATCGCCACACTCTGCCATGTGCCACTTTCAGGTCTCCTCACACTGCTGGTGGGTTCCATTTTTTGTCATAGGGTGCTGGCAGATTACGGGCCTCCCATAGCTGCTGCCAGGCCCCTAATCTGCCATGGGCCCCTGTACCGCCTCCTCATGCTGCTGCCAGGTCCAGAGTCTCTCATGGGTCCCTGTACGGCCTCCCATTGCTGCTGTCTCCATCGCCACACTCTGCCATGTGCCACTTTCAGGTCTCCTCACACTGCTGGTGGGTTCCATTTTTTGTCATAGGGTGCTGGCAGATTACGGGCCTCCCATTGCTGCTGCCAGGCCCGTAATCTGCCATGGGCCCCCGTACCGACTCCTCATGCTGCTGCCAGGCCCGTAATCTGTCATGGGCCCCTGTTGTCGCTTGTTGGCATATTCCGCTCGTTCAGATGCTCCTTCTCCTGCTACTCCTCTTCACGGATTCCGTCAGCAGTCTTTCTTGGAATCCGTTTCCAAGAGACAACAGTTTGCGAGCACGCACCCGACGGTGCAGAAGCTGAACGTCCTCCTGTCCAAGTTGCTGCTGCCAGGCTCGTAATCTGTCATGCGCCCCTGTACCGCCTCCTCATGCTGCTGCCAGGTCCAGAGTGTGTCATGGGCCCCCGTACCGACTCCTCATGCTGCTGCCAGGCCCGTAATCTGTCATGGGCCCCTGTACCGCCTCCTCATGCTGCTGCCAGGTCCAGAGTGTGTCATGGGTCCCTGTACGGCCTCCCATTGCTGCTGCCAGGCCCGTAATCTGCCATGGGCCCCCGTACCAACTCCTCATGCTGCTGCCAGGCCCGTAATCTGTCATGGGCCCCTGTACCGCCTCCTCATGCTGCTGCCAGGTCCAGAGTGTGTCATGGGTCCCTGTACGGCCTCCCATTGCTGCTGTCTCCATCGCCACACTCTGCCATGTGCCACTTTCAGGTCTCCTCACACTGCTGCTGGTGGTTTTCCATTTTTGTCATAGGGTGCTGTATGGCCTCCCATTGCTGCTGCCTCCACCGCCACACTGTGGCTCCACACTCTGGTTTTGGCCCCGTGACTGCCCAAATGAGTGAAGTGTGCGGTGATTCTAAGATCGACGGCACTCATCTGCATGTCATACTGACTGTCAGTATTATTTCTCTTCCCCAGCAGACTCCAAGGGCATTTAAATTAAAGGTACAGTGTTCTGCACTAATATAAAGGCTCTCTGAAGCCTAGAAACACCCTTTTATAAGTTAAATTCGCAGCGAATATATTCGACTCGAATCGAAATTTTTTCACGTATTACTGAAATTTGCACTTCAATTGAATTTGTGCAGAGGAAGCATAGGGAAGCTATTCTCAGCATGCTCAAATTGAGTGTAAAGCAGGTGGAGCCTGAATGTATCAGTCTCTAAATGTTCTCTAAATGTTCATTCAAGTCCTTGAATCTGGATTCCAGGGAAACTGCCTAACATAACATTGAAATACATAAAAGTGAATGACCTTGTAATCTATCCCTCCTCCTGAAAGACACCAGGGCCACGTAAGGGACCTATATGCAGAGCAGGGCCTGTGCTAGACTATTTTACACCCTAGGGAAGACTGGCCACTTGTGTCCCCCCCCCCCCCCAAAAAATATAAATTTTTAAAAACAGTAGAAAATATTAAATCAACAAAACATGAAACTGCTAAATTTCTTTTAATTTGCCAAAATAAGTTCCATAAGATGCCACCAGCACCAATATTATAAGCAAAAAACAGTGACACATATGGACTGCATCTGTGGCTAGCAGTGGCAGAGTCACAGTTGCAGTGAGTGGAGGATGATGGATCCAAACTCTGACAGATCCCAGGCTTGAATTCCATAGGCAATGGGGGAGGTTAAAACCTGTGACACCAGGCAGCCCAGCCCATACACATATGGTTGGGTCACACTCACACAGACACCAGTCAGACATTACCTTCCTCCGCAGGTGTAGCTCTACCTCCACTGATGAATGGGAAGAGAAGGTCTGGAATTCCACAGTGATAAGCAGCCGCCAGCCGGCTTGCAGTAAGGGACTGGGTCTGAGAGGAACACTGGAAGGAACAGCAGCTCAGCTGCTACACTGGCCCCAGACACCAGGCATCTTTCTCTGTCCTTCTCTGTACTCTCCTCCTCTCTGCCGCCCCCTCCCCTCAGCTTGAGGATCATTCATGACCTGGCAGTGTCCCACACAGAGAGTGCCGGCCTGTGCTGGGCCTCTTAGTTTGCCTAGTGGAAGCGTCAGCCCTGATGCAGAGTATATGGCAATTAAACAGTACAGTTTGGTCCAAATCACACTCCAACCACTGACTGCTCAATGAAGGAGCAGCAGTTCACTGATTAGGTTGTCTCTTTGTCCCCACCTCATTAAAGCACGTTCTTTAACATCGCTGTGCAAAGAAATAGATCTGGATAAAGGTGCTGCCCATTTTCACCCAGGTAGAGTGGTACTGTGCAAGGGTATTATAAGAGGCTGATATCAAGACAGATTGACTAACTTATGTTAGTTGTAAGTATAATTAAATATAATTTACCAATGAATTCCTAAATAGCAAATAATATTTTTTCTACAGTATATACCTGAAGTTCAGCTTTTATTTGTTTTCTTTTTTACATTTCAGAAAATATTTAGCTTGCCACTAAGGCATTTGAGCATTTCAATTAGTATGCTTATTTCCTAGAATAAGTGACACTTCCAGTTTTCTTCTTACCCCTCTCCCTGTCTCTCAGCTAGCTGCCCTCCTGGCACATATTACAATGGTCAACTGGATCAGTGTCAAGCATGTCCGCATGGGACTTTCCAGGAAAAAGAAGGGCAACTGTTGTGTGACCTATGCCCAGGGGCAGAAGCCAGTGGACCACCAGGAGCCATTAATATTACAGCTTGTACTGGTATGATCATAGAGTGAACACTAAACTGCTAGACTAGTAAATTATCTGACATAGGGGTTTATTATTTTGTTAATTTAAAAATTATTATTATATTTTTGTGCAGGTCAGTGCCTTTCAGGGCACTTCTCTACAGATGGCTATAGACCTTGTCAATTGTGCCCACGTGGTATGTACCAACCAGAAGCTGGGCGGACGCAATGCTTATTTTGTGGAGGGGGACTGAGCACTAGACATGAAGGAGCTATATCTTTCCAAGACTGTGAAACTAAGGGTAAGGTACCTTCTGCAATACATTCAAATGCAATCCGTTTTAATCTTTTTTTCAACTCTAACTTGAATGAAACCAACCAGGGCTTGGTCCATTGCAGCAGGTCAACTATAGGCAATGCCCATTAACCTGCATCCAAATACACTATTGTTAGGTCCTTAGTACTGCCTCCACCTTTTTCAGTGCTGGCTACTAGTCTGTGCTTCTTTTATTCCAGTTGCTCCCAACATCAAAGCGAAATATAGGCTGCTTGTGTCATAAAGTACTTTCTGCCACAAATCCTTCTAATGAAGCTCTTGTAGGGAATTTCATAACCTAGCACTAATATTCTTAAAACTTTCAGGACCTCTTCAGTAGACCACAGCAACCCTTCTGCCATAAACTGGGTGACACAAAGTGATGCTTTATTTCTCCTAAAGTAACTTCTGAGTTTCTGTCACCCTTTTACAACACATATTCTGTACTGTATATATTCCAAGATATGTATTCTTCTAATCCTCCACATTTAAGACTTATTGAAGTAATGATTATCTGTGTTTAATCTTTACTCTACTTTTGTTTTCTCTCCTACAGTCCAGTGCTCACCAGGCCATTACTATAACACAACTCTACATCGCTGTATTCGCTGTACGATTGGCTTTTATCAGCCTGAATTCCGACAGAACTTCTGTATTGCATGTCCTGGAAACTCCAGCACGGACTTCGATGGCTCCACCAGTGCCGCCCAGTGCAAGAGTGAGGGGACATAGCGGGACAGCAAGAAGGTCATGGGGGTGGAATAAAAGGAAGATGATAGGGGGGAATGGAAACGCAAGTAAAAGTAAATGACTCAGCTGACAAGATCACAGAGAGTCAAAAATACAGTAGATATTAGGTGCAATACAAGTTTTCTAAGTCAAAATATGCTGGCCAAAATTACTTGAAATCCCTAACAATAGCATTGCCTTTTTTGGAATTTGTGGTTTATTCCCAACATTTTAGTAATGATAATATACAGTATATTAACATTGCTAACATGTGTACTATTGGACAGCTTAAACACTGATGCTGACCAGACACTTGCAAGGCACTGAACAGTCAGCAGCAATCTGCCAGGCACTGTTTTGACTATTTCTTACTTTTGAGCATCTACATGATCAGTCAATTGTTCCTCCAATCTCAGTTGCTTGATCATTAAAAAAAAAAATTGAAACAGTATTTTTACAGATTTCTGCAGACCATTCAATTCCTTTGAGTCAATTTTTATCCTGAGCTGGTGGAAAGCTTCCGAATTTGCTATTGTAAAATGTATAGTCAGCACAACAGTCAGATGAGTAGCACCCAAGCTGCAGTCAGGTGGTTTACAAATAAATCTCCTCAAATAGGGCGATTGATTTGAAATTGGGTTTAACGAATATCTGTAAAAAATATAGTCAAATAATATATTTTGAAACTTGTGAGTGATACAAATTCAAGCTGCCCGATACACATACAGTTTATTATATTTCTGTTTATTAGTAAAAAATTAGGCACCCAAAAATCAATAAAAAGCATAGTATTTTTTTGTTTTCATTCTTTTTTTTCCCTTTACGCTAAAGATAAGTAATTAACAGATACATCTAAAGTTATCTGAGTATTCTTACTTCAAAATGATGATAGATAAACATAAACGTACATTGCCCATATTAAGAAAGTTGTCAGGTATTCCAACAGCAATTTACGGTTGAATATATTTTTATTTGGAACCATATAAATAAAACAAAGACACAGCATGTATAAAAAGGAAATGAACAGTTCAAAAAAAAAGAAAAAAGAAAACAAACATCAGGTCGAGCGAAGCCTAAGAAAGAAGTATGTGACATTAAGAGTTCTACTTTAGTGCATAAACAACAAAGGAAAACTTTCATAAGACCCAGGTATGAAGTTCTGGCTCAGCTACACACACACGGGGATCCAGCATAGGCAACAAACGTAAAAAAAACATGAATGCCTAGCCAGCAGCAACTTAAAGTTTGTATAGACATGCTTTGGGCTTTTGTCCATTCAGGTGATATCTGATTACATTTAAGAACAGCTTAGGTTGCTTCTGAATTTATTCAGAATTCATAAAACAGTGTATTTTACCTGGTTAACTTCTGTCTGAACTCCATTTGACCTCCATTTAAGCTGCATCAATCCTCTTCAATGCTGCTTTTGCATTTCTATTGACCTGTATGGAGGGAGACATGCAGACTGGGAAGAAAATTTTGTAGTATCATCTTTGTGCAATTTTGAACAAGTAACATTTGCAAATAGAAGTAAGGAGATAGTTTAGGAAACTTGCATGCACTACTGAGTGACAGAGAGATAAGCTCATCACTGTGCTGCTTCTCCTTTCACTGTTCAATCACAGGCTGATAGTGGATCTAGGATGACCAGGAGAGTAAGTTAAGAGATGCTGGTTTGGTTATTTTTTCTTGTATCTTGTTATTTTTGGATCAAGCTCTGCTTCAAGGGTCTGCTATAGTAAAACTAAAGAAAAATGTTTTTTTTTATTTTAAATTTTAGACAAAATAGAAAGGGATTAGAACACCTGTCAGATTTTTATTGCTGACTGTGTCCCCCCCTCCCCATTAGGGAGATTCACCCTCTCTATTTAAAAGTAAAATAAAATAAAAAAGTTAAAATCACAAATTACCCCAGAAGGGTAATACAGGGTGTACCTTCAATAGAGATACTAGTTCTGCCAACAACAAGGCATCCCTTTACATTGGAGGGATTTACTCTCACTTCCTGCTTTGGCTAGCGGAGAGGAAATTAAGGGAAATCTCCCCAATGGGATACAGATGGCAAAAAAAGATCTTGGTTAGAACCCTTTCTGTTATGCTATCCAAAAGGAAACAAAGGCTTGCCTTTATTTCTACTTTTTACTGTGGTCATTACAGAAAAAATCCTGACTAATTTAAAAATTGTAAACAGCTTTATACTGAGAACAAAATATTAAATACAACTATTGTTACTTACTTTTAGCTTTTATCTTGTTTAACCAAGAATAAAACATTTTGTACAGAATTCTTCTTTAAGATGACCTCAATTAATTGACATCTTGACAGTTAAAGTACATTGCTTGCGACAGGTGTAGGGAGAGGAAAATCAGTGTGTTTTTTTCTCTATTTCCTTAAGAGGCGTTTGTATTATAAAACTGTTTCAACCTTACCTTTTTTTTGCAGACCGGCATTGTGGAGGGGAACTGGGGGATTACACTGGTTTTCTAGAGTCACCAAATTATCCAGGAAACTACCCCTCTAGTGTTGAATGTACATGGAACATCAATCCGCCACCCAAACGTAAAATTCTGCTAGTGGTACCTGAGATTTTCCTGCCCTCTGAAGATGAGTGTGGAGATGTACTGGTCATGCGCAAAAATGGTAAATGCATGAGCCTGCATACTAATAAATGGAAATCATTTCTTGTGTAGAAAAAAATATAGAGAGGTATTAGCGTAGTAGTTGTCATTAACCCTTTTAGCTATCAGACTATAAGCTAGTGGTGGCCAACTTGGTGATGACTCCTAATGATAGCTTAGTTATTATAAATTTACTATAATTAGTACATCACATTGATCACACCCAAGAAAAAATAATCTGTTTCTTTGAAACCTTCATGGCAATAACATAAGGTCAATCAAGTTTGAACAGGTAAGAAGAAAAAAATGGCATGCCGGCAACAATTTCACAGGTTTGCAATTGTAAAAATTCTGAATAACCTTTTGTTAATTTACCCACGTGTTTGATACTTATCCAGTAAAAGCAAACATCATTGAGAACATCCATCATATTTTTTGGGACCTGGAGATTAATAGGGAAAAGGGATTTTCAAAAATATTTTTCCTTTAATAAATGAACTAATGTATTACATTGTATTAATATTGTTTTTTCTTTTGTTGGGTGTTCTGGTCAATAGAGACCTAATCTAGCTCCTCCATGACTTTACCTAGCTCAGATGATCTATTGATAGCTATAATTAGGAAGCAATAGATCACAGCAATAATGATAGGACAGAGCTGCATAATCATCATGCATTGCTCTAATCTCCGGACTCACAGGAACCGCTGCAATATCACTTCCTCTGCAAACACAGTGCCGAAGTTTTAGTGCTCTGCACCATGCTTTCTAGCAGGAGTAGAAGTCCAGGAGCTGACTGATACATGTTTTGGGCTTAGTGCTGGAACTCAGTTGCCCCTCACAGCTGGCATTTCCAGCAGTAAAGCCCACAAAACCCATTGACATTCTGTGTCGTGCCTTTGAGCACAGCAGGCCACATACTAAGCCCTTTTTGCCTTGCAGGATAGTATTTGTTTGAAGGGCAGCGCTAAAATATACGTGATCTTAATCATTAATACTTGTAACACACAATATAAATCACTATATAAAGAATTATTAAGTCATGTGGATATGGATAATGTCCATATAACCATATATCAGAAAGAATGGTAAATGTCCCACAATAGTGTAAATTATTCCAATATTAAATTTCAACAGGTGTATCAATAGGTGACTTCTCTTAATCCCAGTGATAACTGTAGTCCGGTGACATACGGGAAGAAATGATAAGATTGCACACTCACCAGAGGCGCAATATAAATGCTCATTTAAGTCAGATAAGCCCGAGGTCCCCTCAGTTCTGGGAAAGATGCAGCCTGGAATTGACAACCCTTCTATAGCTTCTAGAGGTCCCCTTTAGGTCTGCGATGAGGGTCTGCAACAGGTGTCTCTCCTCTGGGCCCTGGAATGGTCACCTTGGGTTCCTGGGGGATTAAGTGCTCGGTAAATGCTACGAAATGCATTATGGAGGAGCCCCGCACGCCGAGACGTCATGCCGCCAGATCACGGAGGTCCGGTGGCCATCTTTATAACCAGCTGGTTAGTGCACCCAGCAGCTTTTAGGCTGCATGCTACCTATTTGCAGATTTTTGCTTCATACCACTACTTGTTACTGACCCATGAGTACTATTTGAATGTGTGTTCATTTATCTTTTACACTACTTAATAAAACATAATATATGTGAAATACTACACCATGGGCACCATTTTTTGCTCCATACCGAGCACTTAATCCCCCAGGAACCCAAGGTGACCATCCCAGGGCTTAAGAGGAGAGACACCTGTTGCAGACCCTCATCGCAGACCTAAAGGGGACCTCTAGAAGCTATAGAAGAGGTTGTCCATTCCAGGCTGCATCTTTCCCAGAACTGAGGGGACCTCGGGCTTATCTGACTTAAATGAGCATTTATATTGCGCCTCTGGTGAGTGTGCAATCTTATCATTTCTTCCCACACGTCACTGGACTACAGTTATCACTGGGATTAAGAGAAGTCACCTATTGATACACCTGTTGAAATTTAATATTGAAATAATTTACACTATTGTGGGACATTTACCATTCTTTCTGATATATGGTTATATGGACATTATCCATATCCACATGACTTAATAATTTTTTATATAGTGATTTATATTGTGTGTTACAAGTATTAATGATTAAGATCACGTATATTTTAGCGCAGCACTACATGTTTTATATGGTTTTATAGAAGGTTTTATGGTTTCCCTTTTTAGTGTTCTAGCTGCTTTTTCAATTCTAAGCGCTCGCTGAACCTGATCTTTTACATTTGTTTGAAGGGTTATTGTTACCTAAATAACAGTCTATTTACTGTAGCCCTCAAGTTGCCTTTAATTAGTATTTCCTGCTGAAATAAGCCAAAACTATTTGATGCTTTAATAGTGATTATGTCTATTAGCTGTGCAATACAAAATGTTTGAAAACAGAATCATCGCCGGTACAAACGTGGAATGGGCATTCAGGATTCAAGGGTATTCAACATTTAAAATGTTGTATTTTCATGTGTTGGTTTTGTTTGTTGCCTTACAGCTTCACCTTCATCCATCACCACCTACGAGACTTGTCAGACTTATGAGAGACCTATTGCCTTCACAGCACGATCACGCAAGCTTTGGGTACACTTTAAAAGTAATGAGGTCAATAGTGCCCGTGGTTTCCAAGTGCCTTATGTCACATATATGATGGTAAGAACAGACACTGCTTAAAATGTATGTAGCACTACCCCCTTAGGGGTTGCTGATGAACTGGGTCCCCCTTTAGTCCTGCACAGCCAGGCATTCAGCATTCTTCACACGAACTGGCATCAGAATCAGAAATCAGCCCTTGAGCTTTTGTTTTGTTGTTGATTGTGGGGATTTGAACTGGAATAGGGTAAGGGAGGTATAGGATGCCCAAGGGAACTGATAACCAAGGACAGACTTCCTGGAACTATTCACAAACTCCTCTTCTGTGACACAGTCCCTGTTGGAGTGCTATCCAGCATCTCCTAGTTGTACCACCCCAGACCCTCTTCACCCAGCAATCTGGAGACTTTTCCTGAGCAGGGGATATGGCTCCTAGTAGGGGGCTAATCTGGTTTCCCACCAAAGTGATCCTCTCCTGTACTGCTTGAGGGTTGGCTGCTGCTACCAGGCCTATTAGCTACTAAAACTGTTTGGTGCACAATCTGTGTTAGCTCTGCATAGAAACCAATCAGCTTCCAGGTTTATTGACAAAGCTTAATGAATAAGCTGAAGTTAGAAGCTGATTGGCTACCATGCACAGCTGCACCAGATTCTGAGTGCACCATTTTTAGTAAATCTCCCCCACAATGTACTAGTGTAAGTTCTCCTAATTTATGCCTGTTTGCACGGAAAAGGTGAGGGACGCCTACTGGAAAACAATAGAGGACTCTTTTTTTATTCTTGGTAGGTTTTAACAGATCTACAATTTCCAGTCTATGCTGACTGCATAGATATTTTTTACATGTGGTAGCATATGATTGCTGCAGATTTGATTATGTTATAATGACAAATTTTTACAAATGTTGTGGTAAAATCCAAATTTCTAAATGGTTCCATCCTCTTTGGGACAAAGTACATATAATATTTTGTCCCATGTTGCTAGGTGCTTTCTAACCCTTATTATGAGGGCTGACCTTCCTCACCCTCTCCTCCTGCCATTGCCGATCTGACAAAAGCTTGGAAAGAAATGGCAGGTTTATAACAAAGCTGTTAGCACTTTCAAGAAACAAGCAGTGGCTAGAGGTATGCAAAGAGAGGAGGGGGATGTGTTATCGTCTGCAATCCTTTTGCCATTTTATAGCACAAGTACACAAATAAGGAAGAAATGCAACATACACAAAAATGGTACAAACTGAAAATATAAAGACCACATTAAGCATACAGTATGAGTGACCGCAGTTGAAGTGGTTGAAGTTAAGACACTTACCACCTAATGCTATCCTTGAATTAAGGTAAAAATATGTCCCAGCATTTGTATCACCCCTCTCACCCCCCCCCCCCCCCACCTTATACTCCTTTCCTAAACCAGCACTGTGTGTGAGAGGGTAGCAGGGATGAGCTGCAATGTGTGTATCTATGGACGCACATGGCCCTGCTTTGGAGCAAAACCGCACGTGTGCCCTCATAGCAAGAGGCTTGCCATGGTGGAACACGCAGAAGAGGAGGAGCAGAGAGCACTGGTGATGGACTCCCCATAAGGAAGTTCGGGGTTGCTCTGTGCAATATCATTGCACAGAGCAGGTAAGTATAACATGTTTATTATTTTAAGAAAAAAAAAGACTCTATAACTGCTTTAATGCCCACACACCACACATACAGTATGCATCTGTGATGTCGAACAATCTTTTTACTTCCATTTGCATACTAGTTAGCCAATGGGGTGAAAAGGAATGATTTGCATGACTAGACCAACTATCTTGAAATACTGTAAGCCATATCTCTCTTATTATTATTATAATACAGGATATATGTAGAGCCAACAGTTTGCTCATCGCTTTACAATATAAGACAATACAATTACAATACATTTCAGTACAGAAGTAATATGAGGGCTCTGCTCATGGAGCTTACAATCTAAAGGAAGGGGGAGGTGATACAAAAGGTGATAGCTGCGGGTGATGATCTGGCGGAGGTGATTCAAGTACAGTTCTTAGGTGCAGTTGGGGTAGGTTTCCTTGAAGAAGTGAGTTTTCAAAGATCGTCTAAAGGCAGACAGGGTGGGGGCTGACCGGACATGCTGTGGTAGGGCGTTCCAGAGGATGGGAGGAGCGGAGTGGGCGATTTGGCCAATATCTGTGGATGAGGTCGGTGATGTAGCTAGGGGCAGTGTTGTGGATGTCTTTGTAAGTTGGGGTTAGTATTTTGAATTTTATACGTTGGGTTAGTGGAAGCCAGTGGAGGGATTGGCAGAGAGGGGCAGCAGTCGCTGATCGGTTGGTGAGGTGGATGAGTCTAGCAGCAGCATTCATAATAGACTGAAGGGGGGGTAGCCTGTGTAACGGTAGACCAGTGAGGAGGGAGTTGCAGTAATCGAGGCGGGATATAACCAAGGCGTGGATAAGTTGTTTTGTGGTGTCGTTGGTCAGGAAGGGGCTCTTATTTTGGGGATTTGTGATGCAACGGAACATGGTAATACCTTCTGTTCTAAGAGGGCTTTACTATGCTACAGTATAGAACTGTAATTTGAAGGGATTTATGCAAAATGTCCAGTCGCACTGATGTTACAATTGGTGGGCTATCTCTACAGCATCTGTAGGCACAGGCCTATAGCACCCATGAGAGTAATCTGGCCCTACCTGTAAACCTGCAATGTATACATGAACAGAATATTTTGTGTTGTTTTAGAGGACTATGAACAGCTAGTAGAAGACATTGTGAGAGATGGCAGACTATATTCTTCTGAAAATCATCAGGAAATTTTGAAGGTAGCTCTCTTATCTTTCTCAAAACAACATGTATGATTTTATGCTATACTATACTAATCTATTTTTATTCATATTAGGTTTGCTTTCAGTTTCTATGCATTGTTTTGTCTGCATTATTTTTTTTTTTCTATTGTACCAAGTAAATTAGAAGAGAGGTACACAGAGGTCTACCCTACCATTTTCTATACTTACTATATAATGGGGATTGTGTGAACCTTACAAAGTCATTAACATCTGCCATCTTCAAGAGTATTGGAAATTTGATGTATCAATGTATACATACAGTATATGTGTATTTATCAGACACACCCTGAAGGGCAGACCAAACAAAAAGTAGTTTTGCTGATATGTAGGTAAGACTAGGCTTAGAGATGATCTTATTTTTTTTTTATGTAAGTTATTCAGTTTCATAATAAAAATGTTGTCTTAGGAAGCAGAATAAAGGAGAGAGGGGATTTGTGTTCTACACTGTGCTCTGATTCCCCTTCAGGTCTGTCCATGCTGTGTTTACTATAAACAATTTTATTGGATTATTTGACATAAAGCATTAGAGAATAAGATGAGATCCCTGGAAGAAATGTTCCTGCCAATCCACACTTAGCTATCCAGTTGTTTTTGTGTGGTCCATCAGTGTTATTGCCTGTTGCATGCTAGTTGTAGATAACTATGATTAAAATCAATTAATTCAAATATATACAGCAAATAAATAATTGAATAATTAAAATGTAATATTTGGTGACATGTCGCATGACTGATCAAATAGAGTTTTGATATCCTAACTGCTTTCTCAGGTGCTAACATGGTTGTGATATCTACCAGAAATAGGTCATCAGCTGGCAACAACTATAATGGCATTTAATGTGTATATTACCACACAACAGTGCAGAAGGGGTGCAGAGGTGAGGTAATTTACAAAGTTAGTGGAAGTGTGCCATATGTAAAAACAACGTAAACAAAATAAAACGCTGAAGTAGCTGTAGAGGTAAAAATACACTTAAAGCTGAGTTCCACCCAAAAGGGGAAGTTTGGCTTTAAGCCTTTGTCCCCCACTCCCCATTAAGGATTGGTACGTTTGGGGAGGGCGAGGTGGAAGGCGATCAGAAGTGTTGTCCTCCTCCCCCCCCTCCCTCCCGTAGTCTTCTGGGACACGTGACAGCATGCGCAGTGGGCACCCAGCTGTGAAGCTGCAAGCTGTCACAGCTGGGTGCCCACACTGAAGATACCGGCACCAGGGAGAGAAGATAGCCGGTGAAACCAGCGGTGGTGAGGATACCGCTGGCCCGAGGGACAGGAAACTGGCTGTATTTTAAAAGTCAATAGCTACAGTTTTTGTAGCTGCTGACTTTTTTTTTTTTTTTTTTTTTTTTTTCAGGTGGAACTCCGCTTTAATGTTTTAAGGTCTCAGATCCAACCTACCTGGTCCCAGGCACCATCTATTGCTGTATATTAGAAAAGTTTTGATAAATGATCACTGCTACTTACCTAAATTTAGTGTGACATGGTTCAACAGCTTCACAGATGTCTTTCTTTAACTGTTGCTCTTTTTTAATTTCTGTTATTTCTATTTTTTATAGGATAAGAAGCTGATTAAGGCTTTTTTTGAGGTCCTTGCACACCCTCAAAACTATTTCAAATACACAGAGAAACATAAGGAGATGTTACCCCGATCCTTCATCAAACTTCTGCGCTCCAAAGTATCTGCTTTTCTGCGACCGTATAAGTAATATGAACTGGATTATGGACTGGGAAGCAAATGCACAAGCACATTGTATGTGCAGAGGGCCACATTCATATCACAATCAGCAAAATGCACAAGAACAACTACAATATGACTAAACATATTGATAGAATTTGCCAGCATATGATTTAATAAGACTTATGCGTTTTCAATATGTGTGTGTCCTTTTGAAGAGGTTAGGATAGTATATGAGGTTAGGATAGTATAGAAAGACATTACACTAACCCGCAACGTCCTCATATGCTATGTATAATTGACTGTGGCCAAATGTCATTACAAAACGTTCATGGGCACAACTATCATTGTACAATGGACATCCTGGATGATACTAGTTCGGAAAACACCATAAGGGTACAGCATTGTAATGTTTTTGGACAACCTCTGAACCAAAAGACTAATTTAGTAATTTCTCCATATTTTTCTTTTAACAACAAACTCCTTTAATCATTTTCTTAAAGCAATTATCTCATGTGATCCACTGTATAAGCCTATTGAATGTATAAATTGATAAATGCCTTAAGACTGTCACAGGATGCAGACATTTGTAAAGCACTTTACAAATGTAAAAGTCATGGGACACAGTTTTGTAAGGGTACCTGTAGATGAGGAGGTGCCTCACTGAAAATGACACACATTGAGATGACAAACCATCATCGAACCAGCCAGGACCTGCTGTGATGTACCTTGTGACCTGGCAGGTAAAAAAGAAGGGGTGCCCCTATGGAAATGAAAATGAAAAAGAATTGAACCTAAAACATATTTTTCAGCAAACATAAAAATCTCTGCAAGCAATAATAAGTGTTTCCAACATTTGGATGTGCACTTTCCTCTAAAGAAAGTCATATGCAGCCCAATCCTCACCCTAATTGTCACAGTAGATACTTGAATCATGCTTTATATAGTCACCCCTGCATGTGCCTTCCTCTTGTGGCTGTCTTTAATAAACTTAAGCCATTGTAAAAAATGGGTAGTATTGACAAAACTGGTACAGCCTAAAGCCTAAGGTCTGTATAAATGTTTCATATGGTCTTTATTGTGATCGTGGAGAAAAACAATTACTGCAACCTGCCTCATCAGGGCACTTCCCTAGTGAGAAATTGAATAAATCAATGTAAACTTTGATAGAAATCTGGACAATATTGTGAAAAGATGGAAACATGCGGAAATATGCAGTGTAGACTCAGACTGGTAATCTGGATTTGGCCATAAAGGTTAGTATATTGGATGAAGTCTAAATGCTAGTGTGAGTTTCTGAAGGTTGCTCAGCTTCAGATTACATTGTTTAAACCTGACCTCCAGATTGATATAAAAGACATAAAATAATGCAGCTCTGTAATCCTTAACACAACATTACTGTTTAATACAAAAAGTGTAAATATCTGAACTTGAATTGGTATCTGACCTCTTGCAGTTTACTCTACGGTCTGTGTAACAGAGCTCAAGGATGTGGATAAAAAAGCAGCCAAAAGAACCAATCAGTGTACTGCAGTGCAAGAAACATGCTATTAAGAGTAGAGAGCACAGTGACAGTGTGCTGCTTCTCCTTTTAATGTCCAGTCACAGGACACCTGAAAGTGGAAATGCAGCAGGAAAGATCAGGTCCCCTCTACTGCCAGGCAAGACTGTGCAGGGGGAGAGAGCTGTGTAAATCTCAGAACTGAATAAACAGAAATTCAAATCCTTTGGCAGGTAAAACAGCTCCCTGATATGCATTTTATCTGTGTACTTAGCTGTTTGCCTAGAGTTCAGCTTTAAAAAAAAGTAACAGAACTCCCTTCACTGCAATTTCTGCTTATATTTCTTTTTACTGTTTAGGAAGTGTAGTCAGTGCATAAATGTTAGTGTCCAAGTTAACTTTGGTAACATACACTAAAGTGGACTGGATTGCTTTATATGCCTGGGATTCTTTTTGGACCCAATTTGGCACTTGACACGCAGTTGCCTTATATATGCACCTCTTCTTTTCCTGAAAATTCATGGACCCTACCTACTGTCGGTTTGTATTAGTAAAGTATAAAAATACTGAGTGTACTATCATCTCTTCATTATAACTGTCATAGTGCAGCTTGCCTTTTTGCCTGTATTTCTGCAATGTTAAAGGTACTAAAAGGATATACTTTTAAATATCTTGCATTACATTTATGCATACATCAGCTGAAATTAATTATGTTTACTGACTACGGCGATAAGGTAAGTATTGGTGGATTAACTGGGTCTATAAATGCTACTATGTCACTAGTGCTGTAGTGAAAATTTATGAAGATGCCACAAGGAGAGAAAAATAAATGTATTATGTACAGAGAGTTTAGCTTCAACATGGATTTTTAAGTGACAAATCGCCTACATTTTTCTCTTGTCACTAATGATGACTGTCTTAAATTTCTTTTGCAAAAATAAACTTGTTTGCACTTGATAACTAAACAAAATATCTGTATGTGTATGGATTACATTATTAGAATTTTCATATAAACTCTTTTTTTTCCCTGTACAATAATATGCATGTATAAGGATTAACAAGTTTAACCATATATAGGTCCCAAACATCCCTAACTTGCACCAGTAGTCCTAAGATGTTTTTTTCCTGAGTTAGAACTTTTTTTTGTAATATACATCCATTATATCCTGTCTAGTATCTGTTATTATGAGGATGTAAAGGAAGCTTAATCTTTTAACTTAAATTGCATGACTGAAATAGTTTCAAGCTGAGCTCCTGGTGGATATAAACAAACAAATGAATACAGCTCTGTAATCAATAAATTGTATTTTAAATGAAAGCAGTGTAGGTACCCGAATGCAATTTGGAATCAGCCTCTCATAGTCCACTGTACAGTAGTGCTCAGAGGGAGAGAGGAGCAGCGCAAGGAACCGATCAGTTGTGCTGCAGTACAAGAAGCATTCTGATAGATGAAAGACCTAGAGATTAGCTCATCAGTGGTGTACTGTTTTTCTTTTCATTGTACAGTCACAGGATAGGGAGAGGAGGGGACCTGGAAGTGTCACTGTACTGCAGCAGAGTTCTCCTGTTCTAACAGACAGGGCTTTTAAGTAAAACAGAGCTGTGTAAATCAGAGAACTGGATGGATAGAAAAGAAGGTAGCTTAGTAAGTAAAACAGCTTTCATGAAAGTATTTTCTTTAGTGTGTGTCTTTAGCGTACTTAGTTGTTTAACTGGAGTTCAGCTTTAAGTGTGTTCTACAGAATAATATATGTATTTATATTCCTTATTCATGCTTGAATGTTGTATAGCACTGCCTAGCTGTAGTCTCAGGGTCTGTATCAATGGTATAACGATAGCCATAGCAATCAATACAACTTCAGTGGGGCCCAGCACTGTATGGATACACAGTGATTTATGCAAATAGATTTTGTTAATATAAATTTATATGTAGTTTGGAAACAACAAGTTTTCTATGAAAGCACTCTTTAACATTACAGGAACTGCCTTTGAGATGGAGATTAGAAAATCGGAGTGCTCTGGTTTTAGCTCTGGGGCCCCACTGATATAGTCATGGCCCTGATCATACTGTATCATACCAAAATGACACTTTGGTACAGACCCTGCCGCAGGATACCCAGAGTACTATGAATTTTCTAAAGAGAGAGCACAGCAGTAGCTGTCTTCTTATAGGCACAATGACTGCCAAGGTCTATTTACACTACAACTGCAAGAACACATGGTAAAACACACATGTTAACAAAACGTGACTGTCTTTTGATCATTGATGAACATGATAGTCAGTATATTCTCTTTGCCCTATGAGAACATTTATATAGAGTCAAAGCCAATTCATACCTTTTATTTAATTTGACCTTAGCCTGGGTCAGATATATATTAAAATGGCAGGCTTTCTTGAAAAATACATTGATTTTTACTCTCTAAAGGCCAGCCAGGTGTTTGCTAATGAAAAACCTATTTCTAAAGAGACTAACACATGAAGCTTTCAGACGCATATCCAGAATTTACAAGAAACATACTAGACGCTGGTGGGATGTACCCAGCTTAAAGATGTATGTTAAAAAAAAATTATAGTCAGTATAGTCAGAGGGTTAAAAATGTTGATCAAACCACATTCTCATACAGAGAATGTAGATTTCATGCAGGGGTGGGATGACCTTCAGACAGAGAACACTTTGAGGATGATGCAGTATCTCCTTGATTTTGAAAATTTACAGAATTAAATAAACAACTTAAAGAGGAACAGAGAAACATCCTCAAATTTAAAGATCACTAGGAAGTTAGGAAACTTGAAGGAAGATTGCAAAAACAGGTAGAAACACATAAAGAAACTGTTAAAATTAAAAAAACATAAGTTTCTTAGAGACTTAGATGATTTTGCTAATAACAAGGTCTATAACTGGTCTCATAAGAACAATAGGCTTTTTCCACAATCAGTCCCTATCCCTGATTCTGATACATCTAGAGAATCAGAAAGTTCTGGGACAGAAGATGGAAATGAAGAGAGAGTTACTCAAGTGACAGTAGAAACAAGTTGAGATTCACCACTAGGAGAGGACAAGGTAGGAGAGGACAATAAAGACCCCTAGAGGTCATCAAGAGAATTTTTTAGGGACCCCCCCACCCAACAATTAAGGATTCGAGAACAATGGAGTTACACTGGTACAAGGAGGGGCAAGAAATAGTAAATTCATCTAGCCCTACCACCACCCAGGATAATGATTTGTAGGTGTTTCCAAAATGACTTTATCAGATGCTAACATAGTTGTACTTAAAAAGGGTCTATCTTTTGTGCCCACACAGGATTTTAATCTTTTTGAGTTGGTTAAAGACATCAATTTATTTGCAGAAAACTAGCATTGAGGAAGAAGTATAGGGATAAAGGAAAGTCCACCCAATCTTCAGATTTGACCACTTCCAGAGATATTGAGACACTTAGGGTGCTCGAATCATTACAACTTGAAAGAAGTGGGGGAACTGCAGAAGTTCTTGGGCCTTTCGCAATGCTAAAACCTAGGAGTGATTATACT